GTCCCGGTCCCCCCGCTGCCCCTCGGCCGCTCTCCAGAACTGGTCGGGCCGGAGGGGTGAAGTCCCAGCGCTGCGTGATTTGCAAACATGAGCCCGAGTAACTTAGGATGACTAAATTAAACCCTAAAATAATAATAAAATGCCGGGCTTTATTTTGCCGAACCGGTTTTACCGGTTTTGTGTTATGAATGTTAATTATTAATAACTCTGGCGCTAAAAAGCAGAGCGTTGTATTTTTGGAGTTTTTTGTTGGTTTTTTTTGTTGGCTTTTTTTTTTAATTCTGCTCAAAGTCCGTGTCCTGGCAGAGGATGTGCCAGGAACCACAGGTACAGAAAGGATTAGTTTGGGTAGATGAAGGCTGCTGAAATGCAGGATGATGCCCAGGAAGGGAAGGGAGGCACAGTCCCCATTCAGAGGTGCAGGGCTGGGGGTCTGCTCAGCCCCCCGAACAGGTTCCAGCTGTGACTCCCAGGCAGGGCTTGTGCTCTTAATACTCTCTGACAACCACTCTGAGTATCCAAACTGAATGCAAACCTCCAAACCTCCCTTCTAGCTTAGTCTCAGCAGAAAGCCACTAATGTGGATCGAGGTTTGCAGCTCTCTGAACCTTTCTTCCCCATCAGTTATCTTCCTTTTGTTTCCTCTCACTGTTAAGTTTGTTAATTTACAGATCTCCCAAGCAATGCAGCGTTTTCCTGGACCAAATTTCAAGCTCAGGGTCACTTGAGGCCAACATCAAAATTAAAATCACATCCCTTATTAGAAATAGGAGAACAAGAATGCTTCAGAAGCAGATAAGTGATCTGATATCTTTGAAATAAATGCCAGAACTTCATGGGTTCCAGGAAGAGAGGTTTTGAATATTGCGGACTGAAAAAAAACAGGTTTGCTTTCACAATCTTTCATTAAAATAGATTTGATTGCCATGTTTCTGGATAATTCAGGCAGACACGTGTGAGGTATGTGAAGATTTCATGTTAAAAAGATATGGCCCACTTTCATCTGTCTTGATTTTTAATTGTGTAGATGTTGGCAGGGTGCTTTAAAAAGTGGATGTTTGCAGGAATTGGTAAGTCCAATGACACCTGCACTTGAACATCCCACATAAAGATCAACACATTCTTTTTCTCACTAATGAAGCACAATAGTTATTTCCTCCCTTAAATGATAAGGATTGAGATTTAATGGTCCCAAGAGTGGAAATTAAATGCATGAAGTTTGCAACTGCTCACAACTGATGCTTTCCCAGCCTACACAGCGACCTCAATGTTGTTTTCTTAGGACAGATTTATTTTAACATGCCTTCTGTCGCCAGCTGACCATTTCTCCCAAGTCTCAGTTTGCTCCAAATTTCCCAATTTTCTCTAAAACTTTCCTTCCACTAACTCAGAACACAGCATGTTTCTGTGCTGTTCAAAGCCGGCTTTGGGGATTGCCTAACTCAGATAGAGAATTGCACAGAATTTGTGTCCCCTCTAGCCTTGGGATGTGCAATGACATTTTTCCAGATGATGATGCTGTGCTGGGACAGAAGGGAATCTGCTGCAGCCCTGGCTGTGCCAGACTGCTGTGGCCTCTGTGTGTTTCCCTCCCTCCCCAGGTGGAAGGAGGAGGTTTATTCCACATTTACGACATCTCACTGTGGGAGTGGGGTTGCCCTAGCCTTGCCACTGCTGCTCACCCATTTTGGCAGAGGAATTATTGCCTGGTGCAAGCAACTCACATTGGTGGCCCGAGTGTAGAGCAGAGTAGAAATGACCGAATGAAAGGCCTTAGTGTGCAGCCTGAGTCAGAATTCCTCTAAAAAACTGGTCACCTGTGTGTATAAACCACAAAAGGCAGAGAGAGAAGCCAAGGAAGAACACACGATTCTGGAGCAGAGACAGTCCTCAGGAAATGGCATCACACATTGAAAAACATTAAGAACATCAACAAGAAGAAAAAAACAGTCAAGCCGATTGTGCCTGAAACAAAGACCAATCTGTTTATCTTGATATGTTTATTTTAAAGCTTAAGTTTGGAACTCGATTTTCAACAAACTGCCTCTCGATGTGGAGCTTACCTCACTTTGATTTGGTTGTCTGTGGGAGCAGCTGATGGCATCAGGAATTGCAGATTTTAGGAAAGGTTGTGTCACAGTGTTGCTCTGGGGGGGTCAGACAAAAAGATGCGTTTCCTAACATTTTTGGGATTGCAGTGTGTTGTCCCTGCAGCTTCAGGGCCAGGAGCTGCCAGGCCCCAACAAAATGAAAGGGGAACTGGGAACAAATCCATGGTTCTGCGTTACATCCAATAAAATCCCTGTTGCTGATTCATCAAAAGCAGTGATTCCATAACCCTTGGTGCTGTGCTGTGTTTTACCCTGACAAGGCTTCTGGAAAGTAGGTGAAACTCGAGGAGATGCAGCA